ATTGAAATGAATTATGTGCATACTCCTGCAGTTTGTTTTCAATAGCATAGAATCATTGCAATATCGTAATTATAAATTTTAATAAGTAATTGTCCCATATAGGACTAAAACAAGTCTGAAATGTAAAAATAAGACTTCTTATCTTTTTTCCCCAAATAAGATCAATTTAATCCTATTACGAAACATAAAGAAATTTGCATCCCAATTTTGCCCATACGATTATTTTTCATACGTAGACCAAATTTCTCTCCCAACCTCCACTACCAGGCATCAGATCTACTTGTGCAGCAGAAGCTTTCTCTTCTATGCACCAGAAGCTTTCTCCCCTATGCACCAGAAGCAACTTCATCCAACCGATCCTCTCTCTCACGCCGCCTTCGACTCTCTTCTTCCGCACAATCAATCGGATGCGCACTAGATCCGCTTCTTCCGCGGTAGGAACAATGGATTCCTCTTTGCACATCACTCCCATAGACACCGCTACCGCCTACTGCCACTCTCCCTCACGTCGTCGTCGTTGAGGTTCTCCTCTTCATTCTCCTCTGCCTCCTTCTCCTCCTCCTCTTTCTTCTTTTTGTTTCTTCTATTTCTCTATTTTTCTGGATGTTGACATTGATTTTGCCAATTTTTGGATTTCTGTTTTTTATTTACAATTTCCGATTTCATATTTTTTAAATAATTGCCAATTTTCCAAAATTTTGGATGATGTCTTCAGATTTTGTCAAGTTTATGCCAAAAAAATGTATACTGACAAGTGATTATGGCAAAATTTCATTTATGTAAAACGATTTTTCTAATTTTTTGTCATTAGCTTCGTTTTCTAAATTTCCGATTGTGTTAACGTGCTTATTCCATTTTTTTATTTTTCAAATATTTGGATACTGAATTCATATTTTTGCCAAATTTATGGCATTTTTATTTTAATCTTCCAACGAAAATCTGCCATCTTTATGGCAGATCTAAAAACTTGCCAACTTAATGGTGGTGGTGGCGAAGGATGGTGGTAGATCCAAAAAGAAATTGAGTAGGGGCATATTTGTACAAGTATGTGATTTTAAGTCCTATGAAACATACGTTTCATTTTTGGTTCTATTTGTGCACATGAATCATCTTTTAGTTCTATTTAGGGAATTAACTCAATTTTAATCTGTGTTGCTTCTTTACTGACGGTTGACAGTTATTTTATAATAGTGCTACGTACAATTTATGATCAACCGCATGCACCTTTATGATTTAGTGTCTCTATTTGTTTAATTACAAGTCTGTCAAAAGTTGTCTTAATCACTCCATTAGCCGCATTGTTTATCTCTATTTGTATAGTTGCATACTTGGTACATAAAACCGTTTTTTGTACATGGTATTATTTCATTTGTTTGACATAAGTGGGTAATTTTATTTGTTTAATCTACCACTGTGTTCATACTCATATTTTATACTGTGTGTATAATAATCATATAATTTTGTTATCCAAAGCTGTTATTTTTTTTAATCTTTGAATCTGTCTGTTTTGTGTAAACAGAATGGGAGACGAATCAAACATTACATTTCCAAAATTATCCCCGCTCACTACTATTCCGGCCGGTTCTTCTCATGGAGAAAAACCTAGCAAATTCAATGGACATGATTTCAAACGTTGGCAACAAAAAATGTTATTTTATTTAACGACGTTGAATTTGGCTAAGTATCTCACCGAAAGCCAATCTCTTCTAGAGGAAGGCGAGACTGATAAGGAAAAAGTGGTTGTGGTGGATGCGTGGAAGTATTCGGATTTCTTGTGTAGAAATTATCTCTTAAACGGACTAGATGACTCCTTATACTCTGTGTATGCCGATATAAAGACGGCAAAAGAATTGTGGGAATCACTTGAGAAAAATATAAGACCGAGGATGCCGGCAAAAAGAAATTTATTGTCGGACATTTCTTGGACTTTAAAATGGTTGACAACAAATCAGTTGTTTCTCAAGTTGAAGAATTCCAACTTATTCTTCATGAAATTCACGCTGAGGGTATGTCTCTTAGCGAGTCCTTCCAAGTGGCTGTGGTAATTGAAAAATTACCTCCCAAATGGAAAGACTTCAAGAATTACTTGAAGCATAAGCGTAAGGAAATGTCCCTAGAGGATCTCATTGTCCGTTTAAGGATAGAGGAGGATAACCGCAAATCCGAGCATAAGGCTGGACAATCAAATTCCATGGAAGCTAAAGTAAACATGGTAGAAGCGGGATCCAAGAAGGGGAAGAAGAGAAAGCACAGTGATGAAGGAACAAGTGGAGGGAAGCCTTCGTCAAAGAAGTTCAAAGGAAAGTGCTATAATTGTGGCAAGGCCGGTCACCGTGTTAAGGACTGTCGTGTTCCTAAGAAAAAGATGACCAGACAAGTCAATATTGTGGACGACCTCTCCGATGACATGGGTGAAATGAACCTATGTGCCGTGATATCTCAATGCAATTTAGTGGGTAACACTAAAGAATGGTGCATTGATACTGGAGCTACCCGACATATTTGTGCTAACAAGTGGATGTTCAACGATTATCAGCCTGTTGATAACGAGGAACAACTATTTATGGGTAACTCTTCTACATCTAAAGCGGAAGGTCGCGGCAAAGTTGTCCTAAAAATGACGTGTGGGAAAACTCTAACTTTGAACGATGTGCTACATGTCCCTGAGATACACAAAAATCTAGTTTTGGGCTCCCTCCTTAGCAAGAATGGCTTTAAGCTAGTCTTCGTGGCTGATAAATTTGTACTTACTAAAAATGATGTGTTTGTAGGGAAGGACTATCTCAATGATGGTCTTCAAAATGAATGTACTTACTGTTGTACCCAAACTTGTTGATAATAATAAAGTGGGTTCTTCTTACTTGGTTGAGTCTTCTTCTGTTTGGCATGCTAGATTAGGACATGTAAATTATGATACTTTGCGTAGACTAATGCATTTAGAGTTACTTCCTAAATGTCAGATTGATCCTAATCACAGATGTCAAATTTGTGTCGAAGCGAAAATGGCTAGAAAACATTTTCACTTTATCACACGAGAAACTGAACCGCTAGACCTCATACATACGGATCTATGTGATCTTAAGTATGAAGAAACTAGAGGTGGGAAAAGGTATTTCATCACCTTCATCGATGATAGCACTAGATATTGCTATCTGTATTTGCTAAGAAGAAAAGATGAAGCGATTAGTGCTTTTAAGCATTATAAAGCCGAAGTTGAAAATCAACTTGGTAAGAAGATTAAGGCACTAAGGAGTGATAGAGGTGGTGAGTATGAATATCCATTTGAATCAATTTGTTTGGAAAGTGGAATTATTCATCAAGTAACCGCTCCTTATACACCTTAATCAAATGGAGTAACCGAAAGGAAGAATAGGACTTTAAAGGACATGGTTAATGCCATGTTAGTAAGTTCTCGTGCACCAAACGACTTGTGGGGGGATGTTATTTTTGCTGCCAACTACATTCTAAATAGAATGCCTCACAAGAAAACTCTCAAAATTCCATATGAGTTATGGAAAGGGCGCAAGCCAAGTTTTAATTACTTGAAGGTGTGGGAATGTCTAGCTAGAGTAGCTATTCCCAAACCTAAGAGGACAAAACTTGGACCAAAAACTATTGATTGTGTCTTTGTCGGATATGCACAAAATAGTAGTGCATATCGTTTCCTTGTCACAAATCCCATAACATGGATATGGTGGCCGATACTTTTATAGAATCTAGAGACGCTACATTCTTTGATAATGTATTCCCTTTCAAGGGAGATTGTGAAGTTGTCTCCTCCGACATGGATGTTTTCATTCCAACCCATGCCGAAGAAACAAACTCACATAAGAGGCCATTTGATTCTATAAAAGATAACAACGAAATAGCGCAAGAATGTGAAGTGGGACGCAGCAAAAGGGCTCGAAAATCAAAAGATTTTGGACCCGATTTTGTTGTATACCTTCTAGATGATGAGCCTCAAACTTATAAGGAAGCCATGTCCTCACCAGACGCTGCCCAATGGCAAGAGGCTATCAAGAGTGAAATTGATTCCATCATGTCTAATCACGTTTGGAAAGTTGTAGATTTGCCTCCTGGGTCCAAACCTCTAGGATGCAAATGGATCTTCAAAAAGAAAAGAAGAACTCATGGAACAATTGAGAAGTACAAAACTCGATTGGTTGCCAAAGGATACAACCAAAAGGGAGAATTTGACTACTTTGATGTCTACTCTCCAGTTACAAGAATAACTTCAATTCGAATGCTATTGGCAATAGCTTCATTGAAGGGTTTGGAAATTCATCAAATGGATGTAAAAACTTCATTCTTAAACGGTGACTTAGAGGAAGAGATTTACATGCAACAACCTGAAGGTTTTACTGTCCCCGGACAAGAAAAAAAGTTTGTCGCTTAGTAAAATCTCTTTATGGGTTAAAGCAAGCCCCCAAACAATGGCATGATAAATTTGATAGTGTAATGCTGTCAAATAGATTCAAATCAACGAGGCCGACAAATGTGTGTATGTGAAAGGCAATCAAAATGACTACGTCATAGTTTGTCTATACGTAGATGATATGCTCATTTTCGGTAGTAACAAAAATTTGATAAAGGCTACAAAGAGTATGTTGGCCAAGAAATTTGAAATGAAGGATCTCGGTGTTGCGGATGTAATTATAAGAATTAAAATCACCAGAACACCTGAAGGGTTGATATTGTCTCAATCACACTACATTGAGAAAATGCTTGAGAGTTTCAAGAAGTATGATATCAAACCCATGAGAACTCCTTTTGATTCCAGTGTTCACCTCAATAAAAATAGAGGAGAAAGCGTATCACCAGATGACTATCCTCGGGTCATAGGATGTTTAACATATGTCATGAATGGTACACGACCCGATATAGCTCAGGCTGTGAATAAGCTAAGCCAGTTTTCAATAAACCCCGGTAGAGAACACAGAAAAGCGCTTATAAGGGTGTTTGGGTATTTGATGTTGATGGGGTTATGGGACTAGGCCCAGAGCCTAATCAGCCCAGGCCCCGAACTTGGACCAGCGGGCCCAAGCCCAGCAACCCAGAGCTCGAGTCAGCCCGACCAACCAGGGCAATCAAGGAGCGGAAGCCCAAGAGAGCCTGTCGACCAGCCCAGCGGGGAGCCTGCGGTCCAGCCTACCCGGGAGCCTGCCTTCCAGCCTAGCCAGGAGCCTGTCGACCACCAGCCCAGCTGGGAGCCTGCGGTCCAGCCCAACTGGGAGCCTACGGTCCAGCCTACCCGGGAGCGTTCCTTCCAGCCTACCCGGGAGCCTGCGGTCCAGCCCAACTGGGAGCCTGCGGTCCAGCCCAGTGGGGAGCCTGCCTTCCAGCCCAGTGGGGAGCCTGCCTTCCAGCCTAGCCGACCACCAGCCCGCTGGGAGCCTGCGATCCAGCCCAACTGGGAGCCCGCGGTCCAGCCCAGGTGGGAGCCTGCCTCCAGCCCATCGGGGAGCCTGCCTTCCAGCCTACCCGAGAGCCTGCCTTCCAGCCTACCCGAGAGCCTGCCTCCAGCCCGGTGAGAAGCCTTCCTCCAGCCTAGCGGGAAGCCCACCGTCCAGTCCAGCAGGAGGGAGCTCAAGCGTCCAGCCTGCCAGCCAGGCTGACCTGCCAGCCAGGAAGAGTAACGGCCAACAATCAATGCGCTACTTAATTATGTGTTTAATTCCGTATTAATGTTGTAATTAATTTAGTCATTATTATGTTCGGCAGTTACCATTTGTAATCGCCCATAAAAGGCAATTCGAATTTCAAATACAGATATGCTATTTCTGGCTAACTTTCCATATTCGTACTTTCCTAATTCCTGCTTGAGTGTCGTACGTAGCTTTCCTAAAAGCCTACGAGCGTCCTATTTTGGACCAACATTGGTGATTTCATTGAGAGCCTCTATTGTCTCTCACATCACTTGAGTAGGAATCACCTAGGAAGATGGCCGGAATCTCGTCTCGACGTGACCATGTCTCAGTCCACACTGAGGAGTCCACCCGGTCTGGCCGCCAGCGTGCCCTCGACAACCATGTACAGGGCAGGAGGGCGGCGCGCCAAGGCGACCTTCGGAACCAATTATCAGGCCACGACGACCTAAGGGCGACGCTCAACCACACCCAGGGTGAGCGCTCGGTCCGCAGCCGGCGGGGGGGAGGCCGACGTCATGCTCCGCGCATGGACCCGGCTCGACTCAATGCCGGGGTGGAAGCCCTACAGGAGGCAACTCGGGTTCTGGGGACCTTGGCTCAAAATTTCCAACAGATGGTGTCTGGCGGAAACGTGGATCAGCCTGCCCGTCAACAGACGCCAGCGGATGTGGAGGTGTCCTCCAGGCGGCGTGATGAGCGACGCTCTGGATCCAACCAAAACAGGGGGAAGAAGTCTCCCATCGGCGGGGGGAAGAAGTCTCTCAGCAGCCTAGCCGACCCCATCGGTAGACGGGGAGGGGCACCCAACAGGGGCGCCCAACGCAGATGGAAGGAGGCGAGCCCTCTCGCCACTCTCACCGGGCGAGCAGTCGGACTGGATCCACGGAGAGGCAAAACGTGGGGCCCCGACCTCACGTGCACGGACGACTTGGAGGTGCCGCCGGACATGCCCAGCCCCGCGCTGGAGCTGTCCGGGGGAACCCACCGCCGGCCGAGGTGGAAGATCTACGACAGCGCCTTGACGAGTTGAGAAGGAGGGTTGTCGGGGGGGAGCCTTACACGGCCGACCTCCGGATACCCGAACCCTTCACCCGGGCGGTCATGGATGCGCCGTTGCCGAGGGGCTACAAGCCCTGCGCCATTGAAGCATACAAGGGCGCTTCGGACCCCCAGCATCATGTATCTCGGTACCTTTCCTACATGGTCATGATGGGGTACGAGGACGCAATCCGATGCCGCGGTTTCTCCGCCACTTTGGATGGCCCGGCTCGTGAATGGTATGACTCTCTACCCGACGGGAGTATCACGAATTTCCGTGACTTGGCTCAGCGCTTTCTCTTGAGGTTCGCGAGCTCCCGAGACGTCAAGAAAAACTTCAGCCACCTGTTCGGCCTAAAACAGGGGAAGAAGGAACCATTGTCGACCTTCCTAGCGAGGTGGAGGGCCGAGTCAGTAAAGGTTCAGGGCCTTGATGACAGGACCGGGGTGGCCATGCTCACAAACTCTATCCGATCGGGCGAGCTTTACAAAGATTTCGTCAGAAGTCCCCCTACCTCGTACGAGGAGGCGCTCGGCCGTGCCGACCGGCAAGCCGAGGCGGAGGACGCCTTGCAGAGGAAAAGAGATGAGGAAGAAGGTGCAAAAGAAGAAAAGAAGAAGGAAGCCGGTTCGGGTGCTGAGAAAGATGACGGCAAAGCTAGCAACAAAAACAACAAATACAAAGGTAACAAAAGTAGGGGCAAGGGCAAGGCGGACGTCCCGAGCGGACCGCTACAGCCCGTCAAGCAATTGACTCCACTTGCTCAGCCGGTCGGGGCCATCCTCGACTACGCGGAGGAGCAAGGTTTAGTCGACTTTCCTGAGGAGTGTGATGTGGTGACTGCCAAGCGCAACCACGACCAATATTGTCGATTCCATCGGAGAGCAGGGCATGATACAGATGATTGCGTCGTTCTCCGGCGGCAAATTGAAGAACTCATCCAGAAAGGGTACCTGGGCCAATTCGTTGGCAAACAAGGAGGCATCCCGCAGAAGAGGAGCCTGACGTGGCAGCGGTCCGAACAAGCTACCACGTCAAAGGAGACACCCCCTGCCAAGAAGCGGGAGCTCGGCGCCTTCTCCGAGGAAGACGATGCCGACCTAGGGAACGGCCCCCGGAAGTACCATCGATGTTCGTTCATATTCGGGGGACCCCAGGGAGGCGACACCTCTGGAGAGCGGAAGCAGTGGGCCCGAGCCCTATACGTCGGGGAGATAACCAGGGCTCCCGCCGAGAAGAGGGTGAAGAGGGACCCCATCTTCTTCACCGACGCAGATTTGCCACCGATGCCTCCGCCGCACAGGGATGCCTTGGTCATCAAGGTCGAAATCAACAACACGATCGTCCACCGAGTCCTGGTGGACAATGGGAGCTCCGTTAACATCATGTACTATGACACCTTCCAAGGTCTCGGGCTGGACCGAAAAGACTTGATCCCGGTGAGAACCCCACTCTCAGGCTTCACCGGGGACTCCATTGAGTCGGAGGGCAGCATAGTCCTCCCTGTGATGGTGGGCTTCGAGCCCTGCGTATCCAAGTTAGACGTCGAGTTTATCGTCGTACGCCTAACTTGTGCGCATAAGATCATCATGGGAAGGCCGGCCCTGGAAGACCTCAGATGTGTGATATCCCAGGAGCACCTATGCATGAAGTTTCCCACTCCGAATGGCGTCGGAGTCGCCAGGGGAGATCAGCGAATGGCGAGGAGCTGCTATCTGAAAGCTTGCAAACAAATCGGTCAAAAAGACTTGAGGATCCACACTATCAACAGCAAAGCCATGAAGTATGAGGAGGGTCAGCTCCGCGCTGAACCCACCTCAGACGTGGAGGAGATCCAGATTGACCCTGAGAGGCCGGAGCGGAAGGTCAAGATCGGGACCGGGCTCCCGGTCGGCTTGAGGGAGAAGATTATCCAGGTACTTGTCCTTTTTAGCGTTGTCTTCGCGTGGGGACCGGAGGACATGCCTGGACTTGACCGAAGCATCACTGTCCATCGGCTGGCGATCAATCCAACGGCGAAGCCCATCCAGCAGAAAAGAAGACACCTCTCAACCGAGAGGAGGGAATTCGTGAAGAAGGAGGTCAACATGCTCCTGAGTATCAAGCATATCCGGGAGGTCTTGTACCCGGTTTGGCTGGCAAACGTGGTCCTGGCCCCGAAGCCGCCAACCTGGAGGATGTGTGTTGATTACACCGATCTCAACAAGGCATGTCCGATGGATCCATTCCCATTGCCTAACATCGACCAACTAGTCGATGGGACGGCCGGATGTGAGCTCCTTAGCTTCATGGACGCTTTTCGAGGATACCATCAGATTTTCATGCATGAAGAAGATGCGGAGAAGACCTCATTCGTCACTCCAGAGGGGATTTTTTGTTATCTTGTCATGGCCTTCGGGCTGAAGAACTCTGGGGCGACGTACACGAGGATGGTGGCCAAGGTATTCCGGAAGGTGCTCGGAAGGAACATGGAGGCGTATGTTGACGACATGATCGTCAAGAGCACCCGGGCATCCGATCATGCAGATGATTTGGCAGAGATCTTCGGGATCATGAAGGCAGTCCGTCTGCGCCTGAACCCGAAGAAATGTACCTTTGCCGTCCAAGGAGGCAAGTTCCTGGGGTACATGGTCACACGGAGGGGGATTGAGCCAAATCCTGAGAAGGTAAGGGCAATACTTGACATGGAACCCCCGAGGTCGGTGAAAGAAGTCCAGATTCTCACCGGCCGGCTAGCAGCCCTTGGACGTTTCATGTCCAAGTCCGCCGAGAAGTCCCTACCCTTCTTCCAAGTCCTAAAGAAACAAAATGGTTTCGTCTGGAATGATGAGTGTCAGCGAGCCTTCGACGACTTGAAGAAGTACCTCCTCTCTGAGCCTTTACTCAGCAAGCCGGAGAGGGGGGAGACGTTAATCCTTTATCTTGGGGTTTCCCAAGGTGCAATCAGTTCCGTACTGGTTCGCGAGGAGGAATGCGTTCAGCGTCCCGTCTACTATGTGAGCAAGACCCTCCAGAATGCTGAGCTCCGGTACACCCCGCTCGAGAAGACAATATATGCTGCCTACATCACCGCCAAGAAGTTGACACACTACTTCCAAGCGCACCCGATCAGAATCCTGTCGGACCAACCCCTAGGTGCCACTCTGAGGGCGCCCGGCACAACCCGGGTAGTGAAGTGGTCGATGCTCCTCAACCAATACGAGGTTGACTTCCAGCCTCGGACGTCCATCAAAGGCCAGGCTCTGGCTGATTTCATTGTGGAATGCACGGCCCGAGAAGTGGCAGATAGGCAACAGGAGAGCAATGAACAATGGTGGACTCTAGCGACTGATGGGTCGGCAGGAGCCAAGGGATGCGGGGGCGGAATCGTCCTCATCTCACCCGAGGGATTCCGAGCCTACTATGCATGCCGCTATCTTTTCAAAGTCTCCAACAATGAGGTGGAGTACGAGGCCCTACTATCTGGGCTACGATTGGCGGCCACCATGGGAGCAGAGTGGATAACGGTGAAATGTGACTCCCGTCTGGTGGTTTCACAGGTCAAAGGTGAGTTCGAAGCGAAGGAAGAAAGAATGATGAAGTATCGAGATGTTGTTCGGGAGTTGCTCGGGTTGTTCAAGCAAGCAGAGTTGATCTGCATCCCGAGAAATCAAAACTCCGATGCAGACCTCCTCTCAAAGCTATCCCAAGGGTTACCTGAACATATATCGAGAATTGCACGCATTGAGGAGATGACGACCTCAAGCATATCAGCCTCACCGTCCATTGACGTCCTTCC